TCACGCCAATTCCAAGCCACTCCACCACACTTCTTTGCAGCTTCCAGGTTCCGTCCAGCACGTTCACGTTCTTCGTCTAGTTCATAGCGCACAGCGGCGACTACTGGTAAGTCTCCAATAAACTTGTTGCAATAATTCAGACTTCCTAAGAAGGACTGCACTCCCTTGTACGTAGACGGGAAAGGTAAGTCCTCTATGCCTTTGACAATCTTCGGCAAGGCTCTGATTCCATCCGCACTCACTCCATGAGAAAGGAATGGGATAGTCAACTTTCCGAATTCACTTTTCGGTAAACTCACAGAGATATTCCAGTATCGTAGTCTGTATAACAACGCGTCCGGGTCCTCACGTAGTTGGTCCCAGGTCGAAGCCCCATGAGCGATGCCGTCAATATACGAGCTTCTTCATAGGACCGGACCCATTTGTGATGGAGCCGGGATATTGCGTCGGAATACAGTCATGTCCAATGAAGGAATTTCTGAATCCTTCATATCCACTTCAGGTTTCAGGGCTTCTTGAGGCTCGAGATCCAGGAACTGTAGAACTTCTGGGTCAACCATTGCTTCCTCTTGAGGAGATAGACGGACGAATCCCCACAGACAGTTGTTGATGATGCTCTGATAAATTAACGGTACATTCTTCAATCCAAAAGGCATTCTGAGCCATTGAAAGTGGCCGAACGGGCAGACGAACGCAGAGATCAACTTTGCTCGTCATTCGCACCACCCAGAATCCACTCGCCATGTCGAGACTCATCAACCACATCGCGGATTTGAAGTCTACCAGTAGGTCGTCGATCAGAGGTAGAGGATAATGGGATAGCTTAATGAGCAAATTCAGAAGCCGGTAGTCAATACACATCCGGATGTCTATGCCGTTTTTCTTCAGCACAATCACAATAGGTGATGACCACTCGGACTCTGAATGCTCAATGAGCTCTGCCTCCAGCAACTTCTTCAGGAGTTCAAACACCTTCACCAAGAAAGGTGCGGTAATCTGCCTCGCACGTAAAGCCACTGGTTTTGCTTCTCCAACGTCGATATCACACACTACACCCCTAGCCGGGGCTGGAGCTGCGTTGCCATCTCCCAGGAAGATGCTGCGATGGCGTCTCATGATCCCTCTCATCTTGGCTTCCATCTCTGGAGCTGTGACCCCCGGGACTCCGACATTAGCTTTGTCGATGTTACACTCTGGGGTCAGGAGGGATCTGAGCATTGTTCTCGACATCCGCCATACTCTCTGGGTCCAGGGTCTTAACTTCTGGACTCAAGTCAGGTTGGGTCTGCTCTACCAGCTCAGGACGGGTCTCAGATTCTTCGGGGCCTCTCGCGACCGTGTTCATGACGATCGCCGAATTCCCAATGATCTTGAGCGTCATGTCCAATGGTTTCGGCT